TTGCAAATTGCGCCTGCGGTTTTTTCTCGAACTGCCTGGAGTTCCGTCACGAATGTTTGTGACCGCGAGACTGGATTGTCGAGTGTGGTCGTTGTAGGCACCATCAGGTCCATCCCGTAGTTTAGAAAGAACGGTGAATGATTAGTCGTACTGGACGAGGCATTGTTGAAGGCGAACTCCAACATGGCGAGCGAATCTTCCCAGTGAGCAGGGTCGGAGCAGTTTGTCCGTATCAGCTGCTCCATTGTCTGATTGGTCCGCTTGGTCTGGCCATCCGTTTGTGGGTGGTATGCGGAGGAGAACTGTAGTTTCGTGCCGTACTGTGCCCACGTCTCCTTCCAAAATTTCGACGTGAACTTCGGATCTCGGTCGCTCATGATCGCCGAGGGAATTCCGTGCAGACGCACAACCGTTCAGATGAATAGACGCGCAGTTTCTTCGGCTGTGATGGTTGTACGACACGGTCAGAAATGCGCCATTTTCGTGAGACGATCGACGACGACGAGAGCAGCGTTGTTGCCGGACGGTCCAGCTGGCATCTCCGTGACAAAATCCATTGTCACTTGTTCCCACGGTCGTTCGGGTGGCTCGAGGGGTTGCAGTAGTTCAGCTGGCCGTTGACGTGTCGATTTCATGGCCTGGCACACCCTGCATGAGGACACATATCGCTGCACGTCGTTAGAGGAGTCAGGCCAATAATAGTGACGGTGCAGTAATTTCTGGATTTTATCAACCCCGAAATGTCTGGAAAAGTTGGAATCGTGGACTTCCTGGATAAGGAGTTCACGCAGCAGCTGGTAAGCGGGAACCCAAATCCGGTCAGTTCCGGCTTTTAGGTAATAATCCCCTTTCTGCGTCGTGGCTTGCTGGTGGTTCCCACTCGTGAAGAACGGGTCCGTAGTGTAGCCGTGGGTGAAAAGTCCGGTAAGTAACGGGTTCGAGTGGTGAATGAGTACTGCAGCGGATTGTACTGTCGGTCGGGTCAGGGCGTCGGCAATGTTATTTGCCCCCTTCTTGTACGTGATGCGGTAGGTGAAGTGGCTCTCCATGTAATCAAGCCACCGAATTTGTCGCAAGTTGAGGTTGGGCTGAGTTCGCAGATATTGGAGCGACTCGTGGTCCGTGCGAACAGTGACGTCGGCGCCCACCAGGTAGCATCGCCATAGTTTGAATGCGTGGATAATGGCGAGCATTTCCTTTTCGTGAATCGGGTAGTTGCGCTCGGCTACCTGCAGCTTGCGTGACTCGTAAGCTATCGGCTGCAGTTCGTTCCCAAAATCCTGGAGTAGCACAGCTCCGATCGCAAAATCAGAGGCGTCGGTGACGACTTCGAACGGCCGTGATGGGTCGGCGATGCGCAGCACAGGAGGGGAAACCAGGAAATTTTTCAACTCCTGGAAAGTCGCTTCTGCCTCCTCCCCCCACACAAAATTCCTGTGTTTGTGCAGCAAGTCAGTGAGCGGACCGATTATCCCCGCCATATTCGGGATAAACCGCCGGACGTAATTCACGAATCCCAAAAAACTCTGCAGCTCCGTGATATTCATCGGGGGTTTCCACTCCTGTCTGGTCTTGATTTTCACCGGGTCGATTTTAATGCCGTCGCGTGAAATAACGAGTCCCAAAAACTCCAACTCTTGCTTAAAAAACTCGCACTTAGAACCCTTGGTGATGAGTCGATTCTCTTGCAACCTTTGAAACACTGCGTCAAGGTTGCGTAGATGTTGCTCCCGTGTCTTGCTAAAAATGAGGATATCGTCCAAGTAGACGATGACGCATCGGTCGAGAAGATCCCGAAAAACCCTGTTCATTGTCAACTGAAAAGTCGAAGGCGCGTTCGTGAGGCCGAAAGGCACCACGGTGAATTCGTAACTTCCGTAGCGGGTGCGAAACGCAGTCTTGTGGCAGTCATCGGCGAAGACTCGGATTTGGTGGTAACCACCGCGCAAGTCAATCTTCGAGAAATAACAAGCTCCGCAAAGTTGGTCAAGGAGGTCGTCGGTGCGTGGAATGGGGTAGCGAGACTTGATTGTCACCCAGTTGAGCGCACGATAGTCGATGCACATGCGAAGCCCGCCATCTTTTTTCAGAGTGAAGAGGATCGGTGCTGCGAAGGGCCCGCTAATTACTGACTTTTCCCATTTCCCTGCTCCTTCCTGTCATTCCCCATCAGCGGTGTTTTCTCGTGGCAGTCGCGCATTAAGTGACCCATCTTCCCACACCGATAACACAGTCCTTTAGGAGGGCGGTCGGGTGTATGGACGACGTTGATTGTGGCCCGATGGGTCTGGCCACGAAAACGGATTCCCTCCCGGGAAGCTGTTCTCGCATACTGCATCAGCACATCAATTGACTCCGCCAGCCGTACTGCTTCCAGGAATGTTGTCGGGCGGTTCCTGCGGACCTCGTATTGTATCTCATATTTTAGGCCGCTGATGTATTTATCCAACCGCTCCGCTTCCGACATGTCATTCACTTGGTCGGCGAGGCCCATAAATGACGTCGTGTAGTCTTGGACAGATGCCATCTGCGACTAGGCACGCAACTTCACACGAGCTTGCTCCGAGGCAAATACGTGCTCAAAGCGATCTCGTAAGGCTGCGCCCCACTCTCTCCATGTGCATATCGTGGTCACTCCGAAGATCGACTCTGCCACTTGATTAGTCACTGTTGAGGTCCCGTCTGCCGCATGTGTCATACCTGTCGGGGTCCCCGTTTCTAGGGTTCGGCGCCACCACTCAAGCGCTGCACCTCGGAGAAGAGAAACGGCATAATTAATGCGCATGGCATCACCGGTCACTCCTGCTGTAGTGAAAAAAACTTCAACTCCAAACAACCACCCTTTCACCATAATCGTCTTGTCCGTAGGATTAAACGGGGGCGGGTTGGCAGGTTTAATCTTGATCGTCATTATTGTAACTGGTGCTGATGCCGCTCGCTGCCTGTCCTCTTCTTCGAAGTCACGTGTGAGCGCGTCCAACGGGTTGCTCACCGCTTGACTGTTGCCCTCGCCTTCGTCATCGGGCGACTCCTGGCGCGCTTCACCTCGCGCCTGGCGTAGCTCGGCGTTTTCTCCACGTAGTGTTGTCTCTTCCGCCATTAATGTCTTCATGCCCTCTTGCATTTCTGCCACTTGCGCCATGAGTCTGTTAATCGCCTCTTGATCCATGTGTCGAGCACTGCGTCGGGTGGGCAGGCGGGTCTCCGTGGCCTTCAGACAAAGTGGAAAACACGAACTATCGGAGTCGGGCAGGTTTGAATTAACAAACCTTGCGGCCAACCGTCGTGTAGTCCACTTATACCTGCCAACCCGTGCCACCAAACTACCCTCGAAAAGCGGGATGAACTAGGAAAGTAGCTCTGATACCAGGTGTTATGAGTTGTAAAAGAGAGTGCGCAGTTTAACGAATAACGAGAAGTGATTGAACAGGCTGATTATAATATGAAGGCACATGCTAATATAGTGAGTAGGCTAGCTAGGAGTGAACTTTGGGTGAGTGAGGTTGGGTGCAGGTTTGGCGAAGAGAAAAGCCGAAGGCGACGCGAAGAGGCTCGGCATCGTTGATGTCGGCCAAACGTGCAGAGTCCGAAAATCGGGGCTGTACGCAAAGCAGTCAACCCCGATAAGGAATTCGGGAAAATTCCTTACAATGATAGGCAATACAAGTTTACTGTAACACTTGGAATAACATGTGCTTGCTATGATGGTAACTCGTCAATCACGGTAGAGGTCGCTGCCTGTGCTAGCACAAACATGCGACGTGTAACAAATTCGACGTGCAACAGATTTGACGCGCTCATCGCGCATGTGGTTGACGCTCTCAACCAATCGCGTGGTGCATCAGAGGGGAACTTTTGCCAAGTTTCGAACTTTTAGAGCGGTTCTATACGTTGCGCTACTTTTGAAATACTTATCGTACGGTGTAAAACGGTTTAATTTTGAACTTCGCGCAAGAGGGCCCAAAGGCACCACGCCTGTGAATCTTGCATTCCGTTTGCAACACAGATATGCAAGATTGCCAGAAAATACACTTCGATTGCGCGATGGTGACTTCGCTGAGTACTACGTCGATTTTGTTAGCCTCGAGTGACTGGTAGCGGAAGAATTCGTGACTGAATCTAGCGAAGTGGAACATGCTCAACGGCTCTTGGGCTTGTTCTAGTGTTTCTGACTGAGAATTTCACTCAAAGGGATTTTCCTTGGAAGCCAGGAAGAACAAACAGAAAGAGAAAACAGCAACTTCCACTTTAATTCCTACGAATGCATTTTTTTATGTACAGCACATACATTTCAGAAATGCGGCTTGGAATGTCGATTCGGGTGGCCAGCCCCGACATCGAGTCGCATCATCCTTTTCCACATTTGTAACTCACTGCTATCATACACATGTCCTTTTCTAACTCTTCGATATTGTTCCCTCGCCACCTGTCCCACGCGGAAGTCTTCCCAAGTCAGTCAAGGCACGAAACCTCAGTTTCGCCCTTCTCACGTGGGTCCCCCACGTCCTGCTCACTTCCGCCCCCTTGCTGCCCACGTCCGCAGCTGTACGCTGCTGCTGCATGCTTTCACCTCCCGTGCGCTTCACGCTGCCTCTAGAGCAGACCCCACTTGTTACACGGAGCAATGCCGTGAAGTTATTCCCATGGTCGGTTGTCGTTGTTGCGTACACTGATGTTTAAGGCCCAGCTAACTAGCAGTGATGGCCCTAGCTTCTGTTGTTGTCTCGAGTGTGTGAATAACAACTTGAGTGGTAGCAAAGCTGTATAATTCACGTAATCTCCTTCCAATACCCCCTCCGCCTTTCACGTCCTCAGATGAAGTCATCGCGGGTGCTGCCCGGCCTGGTCGCGGCTTACATAGTGCTCGCGCTGCTGCCTTGCTCGGTTCATTCGGCTCGGTACTCAGTCGTCGACAGCAGCAGGGGTCGCAGAGTCTGCGAGGGCGGCAGCGGAGGAGGAGGTGCAGAGCCCCATCTTGCTGGCGAGAACACAGGCGTTTGATGCACCCAAAGCTAGGGGTGCGTTCCGTGTCGCTCAGGTGTGCAGACGCGGTGGGAGTGCGTAGGGTGCTACACTCCCTGTGATGCTTCTTTACCAGAAAAAAAAAAAAAAAAAGTTCCCCTTCCATTCTCGCCTTGCCTTATGTAGTATCTCCGTTCTCTGGTAGGACTGCTATCTGGTGACCAAGTCTTGTACTAGCAACTTGCTGTCGCTTTCTCGCTTTCGTTCCAACCGCTGCGTTTTCCTCTGTCATCTGTATCAAGTTTACAGAGTTATTTTCACTACAAACGCGGCTCGCTGGGCAGCACGTGCGTGAACGTGGGATGCATTACATCCAAGGTGCAAGAGCAAATGTTGATACGGGCAAGGATTGTCTATCGGGCAGTGACTCGTGGGAGCTTTGATACGCTGATGAATGCGGCAGTGTCTTGCCTTTTTCCCTCTTTCCTCCATCAGCGCTTTTTTCCACCGCTAAAGGCATCAACGAGCTGTCCCTTGCATCCATCTATCCATAATCCCATGCTCCCATGCTCCCATGCTCCCATGCACCCATGCTCCCTGCTCCCATGCACCCATGCTCCCATGCACCCATGCACCCATGCTCCCTGCTCCCATGCACCCATGCTCCCTGCTCCCATGCACCCATGCTCCCATGCTCCCATACTCCCTGCTCCCATGCACCCATGCTCCCATGCACCCATGCTCCCATGCTCCCTGCTCCCATGCACCCATGCACCCATGCACCCATGCTCCCATCCTCCTATGCTCCCATGCTCCTTGCTCCCATTCACCCATGCACCCATGCTCCCATGCTCCCATGCTCCCATGCTCCCATCCACGCATGCTCCCTGCTCCTATGCTCCCATGCTCCCATGCTCCAATGCTGCCATGCTCCCTGCTCCTATGCACCCATGCATCCATGCACCCATGCACCCATGCTCCCTGCTCCCATGCTCCCATGCTCCCATGCTCCCATGCACCCACGCACCCATGCTCCCATGCTCCCTGCTCCCATGCACCCATGCTCCCATGCTCCCATGCTCCCATGCACCCATGCTCCCATGCACCCATGCACCCATGCTCCCATGCACCCATGCTCCCATGCACCCATGCTCCTGTGTAACCATGCTCTCATGCTTCCATGCTCCGAAGCATTCAGACCTTCCTCTCGTGCACCTATCCAACAATGCAGTCGTGGGCGGATCTCCCCATTGCTTCTCTCTCTCCCAGCCCTCCGATATTCTAGCTCTAGCCCCCCATCCCTTTCCCTCCTCAATCACCAAGAGACAGAACACTCCCTCTCTCTCTGCCTTCACCACATTTTCTTCTTCCTCTCCATTTCCTTCCCTGCCCTCAAGCAGGCACTGCTGGAGTCGACTCACATGTACGACGAGGCAAAACACTCCTTGGCGTCACACGGTGTGAAGGTGGCGGGCGTGGAGGTAGAGCTGCCCGCTATGATGGCACAGAAGAGCAGCGCGGTCGCCGGGCTTGCCAAGAGCATTGAGTTGCTGCTCAAGAAGAACAAGGTCACTTACGTCAAGGGCCATGGCAAGATTGTGGGACCACACCAGGTCGCCGTCTCCCTGCTGGATTCCCCGGGGAAGACCAGCATCATCATCGCGAGGAACATTATCGTCGCCACGGGGTCGGACGTGCAGGCGCTGCCGGGCGTGCAGATCAATGCGACGAAGATCGTGTCGTCCACCGGCGCGCTCAGCCTGCCCTCCATGCCCAAGAAGCTCGTGGTGCTGGGCGGTGGGGCCATCGGGCTGGAGCTGGGGTCGGTGTGGGGCCGGCTGGGCGCGGAGGTGACGGTGGTGGAGCTCACAGACGGCATAGGCGGCAACATGGACCGCGAGATCCGCCGCACCTTGCAGCGCGAGCTAGAGAAGCAGGGCTTTAAGTTCATGCTGGCCACAAAAGTGGTGTTCGCGAATGCGTCGGGGAGAGGCGTGCTGGTGCAGGTGGAGCCAGCCAGGGGCGGGCAGCGCAGCACGCTGCAGGCGGACGTGGTGCTCGTGGCCACGGGGTGCGTGCCGTATACCGACGGGCTGGGGCTGGAGGCAGTGGGCGTGAGGAGGGACATGGCGCGGCGCATCGTGGTGGACAGCCGGTTCCAGTCGTCCGTGCCAGGCGTGTTCGCCATCGGGGACGTTATTCCCGGGCCCATGCTCGCTCACAAGGCCGAGGCGGATGGGATCGCGTGCGTGGAGAATCTGGCAGGGAAGAATGGGTATGTGAATTATAGCACAATGCCGTGGATCGTTTACACACACCCAGAGGTGGCCATGGTGGGCAAGACGGAGGAGGATTCGAAGCAGTCGGGTGTAGAGTACCGCATGGGGAAGTTCCCCTTCACGGCGAACAGTCGAGCACACACAACTAGGGATACGGAGGGGATGGTGAAGATGATAGCATAGAAGGCAACGGATAGTGCGGAGATAACTCTATCAACGGGAGCTAGACTACCGGCTAGGCATGGGGTTGGAGGGATCTCTGCGTTCGTTCACTTGTGCATTCTCTAGCACTTGCGCGTTCACAGGGAAAAACTGCAAGAGTTTCACTAGCAAAAGTCGAGAACAATGGTAGTCACTAAATTGGCAAGATAGACTACATCAGAAGCCAAGCATTCAAGTCGACCACCAGCTCAGCACGAAGGCAACTTGCCACCTGGTCGACCTCATGCGTTCTCAGTCGACCTGCATTGGTGTGCCAGCACACCAACAACAGGCCACCACAGGTCACCACACTGTGAGAATAATGAGAGAGAATAATGAGAGCAATGAATGAACTAGAAAGGAGGTGGGTACAAGTAGCAAACACAAAAGTGTTGTACCCTCTAAGGATTACCCCACTACAGCCTAAAGAGACTATAGCATATATAAGTTTGACACACCCCCATAGGCAAAGTGGGGGAGAACAAGGGGTCACAAGACCAGTCAAGAAGGCAAAGCAAGCTCAGGGTGGATCACAAAGTCACCACGCAGTCTGAGCACAAGCAAAGGGCCACAAGGCCAGTTCACATGCAGAGTTATATAAAGAAAAGCAAACAATACAATGAACACAACCTAGCAAGTGTAAGCATGCAGGTATAAGTATATAGAGTACTGTACAAGCAGAGTCAAGAAGTCAGCAAGTGAGGCACAGTAGGTACAAGGCCTAGAACAGTGCAGAAACGCTAATGATCACACGGCTGAAGTGCCTTGGTGAAAACATCAGCAGTGTTGGCCTGAGAGGCCACGTAAGCAAGACGAAGCTGGCCACGCTGCTGCAACTCTCGAGCAAAGAAGTAACGCAGAGCAATGTGCTTCGTTTTGTGCTCCAGTCTGTGCTCCTGACACAAGGCCAGCATGGCCTTGTTGTCGACGTACAGAACTGGAGGAGAACGAGGCGCCTCTCCCAAGTCGGTCAGCAGGTAGGTGAGCCAGCGTAGCTCCTGTGCAGCCATGGCCCCAGCGTAGATCTCAGCCTCACAACTGGAGCTGAGAACAGAAGAAGAACAGGTAGACTGCCAAGAGACAGAACCGGAGCCAAGACTGAAGGTGTAACCCTGTGACGACCACAGCGTAGCCAAGTCGTCAACCGAGGAGGCGTCAGCGTGACCAGTGAGGACAACTCGAGCCCGTCCTCCAAGCACGAGCCCCATGCCCGATGTACTGCACAAGTATCGCAACACCCTCTTCGCAGCATCCCAGTGCACCTTTCGGTGCCTGCCGGGAGCCACGTAGCGAGCCAGAAGGCTGAGAGGGTATGCGAGGTCAGGTCGTGTGCAAGTCATCAGGTACATGAGGCAGCCTACAAGCTCTGGATACGGGCCACTCGGCTCTACGGACTCGTCCGAAGGTGGAGCTGAGAGCGAGTGACCGGTAGGCAGAGGAGTGGACTGTGGCGAGGAGTACGTGAAGCCGAAGCCCTGAAGGACCTGCTGCACCATGTGTGACTGAGTCAAGGTAATGGTGCGCTGTGCTCTGTCCCGGGTGATCCGCAAGCCAAGATAGCTTGTCAGCTAACCCAGGTCTGTGCACGTGTGTCTCTTCTGCAGCTCGGACTTCACGTGGGCGAGTGCCTCCGTGTCAGCGGTAGCAAAGACAAGGTCGTCTACGTACACAAGAATGTAGAACGGCGGCAGAGTAGTGTCAGTGCGTAAAAACAGAGAAGGGTCAGAAGTGGAAGGAGCAAAGCCAAGAGCAGCAAGAGTCGTCCTAAGTGTGTCGTGCCACTCACGGGGTGCCTGGCGGAGACCGTAGACTGGCCGCCGGAGGCTCCACTGGGTACCAGCAGGAAACGACCCAGTGAAGCCTGGTGGGCGGCGCAGCCAGATCTCCTCGTGCAGGCTGCCCTGGAGGAAGGCTGTACTGAAGTCAAGCGAGTGGAGCTCGTAGTCACGCTGGGCGGCAACGTGCAGCAGTACCCGAAGAGTGGTCATCTTCGGGGTAGGGGAGAAGGTCTGGAAGAAGTCAACTCCCTGTCGCTGACTAAAGCCTCAAGCAACGTAACGCGCCTTGAAGACAGGCGGAGAACCCGGCGGCCGCTTCACCCTGAAGATCCACATGCCACTGATGATGTTCGCCCCAGGCAGGGGAACCTCGTCGACGTAGGTGCCTGTGGACTTCCAGGAAGCCATCTCTGCGTCCATGGCTGCCTGCCACTGAGAGGAGTAGGGACCCTCTATCGCCTCTGCGTAAGAGCGCGGGGTCGGGATGTCTGGTGCATCCGGGTCTCCCTCAGGGGCAATCAGCATGGACACGAGATGAGGTACAGAAGCGGCAAAGCACTCAAACTCCTCCTGTCTGTCCTCAAGAACGTCCGTGCCAAGAGCACACTCACCCCCGACGGACGGAGGACAGACAGACGCAGACGCAGACTCAGCAACAAGACTAGTGGCGTAGTCTAGACGAAAGGCTGCAGCAAAGGCAACAAGCTCAGTAACAAGAGCAGACGCAGCAGTGGACTCAAACAAAGGGTCAGTGACAGCAGTGGCCAGAAAACGCGTGACAGCTGGACTAGCAGCAGGTAGGGAGTCAGACGCAGGGTCCGGACCGGCAAGAAGAGAGGACGCAGGAGGAGACGGCAGAGGGATACGCTGCGGAGCAGTGGAAGGACGCAAAGTCATAGAGTGAGTGCCAGGGACAGGAGGAGGACGCGGACGCGAAACACGACCAGCGCGAACAGGACGGACAGGCGACGCAGAACGAGACTCAGGCGACACAGGACGAGACTCAGGCTCACGACGCTCCGTAACACCTCTAGTCGGTCCAGAGTAAGGAGAAGGACAAGGCAGTGGAGAGGCTGGCTGGAACTGCGACTGGGACTGGACAGGCGGTGGACTCAGGAAAGGAGGAGGAGGACCAGGAGAAGGCGGGGAGCCAAGAACCTGCTGAAGAATTGGAACGTAGTACGGCCGCGGCCGCGCAGTGCCTCCAGAAACAGCAGAGACAGAACCGGTACCCTCAGCCCCAGGGTCTCCAGTCCCAGCAGCACCTCCAGTAGCTCCACCACTAGCAGCACCTCCAGCAGCTCCAGCACAAGCAGCACCTCCAGTAGCTCCAGCACCAGCAGCACCTCCATAAGCTCCAGCAGCACCTCGACAGCGCCGAGAGTACCACCCACGAAGCTGCTGTGGAGAGAGAGGCTCCCGCCGCGACGGGACACCTAGAGCACCTCCAGACTCAGCACTCGCAGGCTCAACACCTCCAGCAGCTCTAGCAGTTCCTCCAGCAGCTCCATCAACTCCAGCACCAGCAGCACCTCCAGCACCAGCAGCACCTCCAGAAGCTCCAGCAGCTCCAACAGCACCAGCACCAGCAGCACCTCGACAGCGCCGAGAGTACCACTCATGAAGCTGCTGTGGAGAGAGAGGCTCCCGCCGCGGCGGGACACCTAGAGCACCTCCAGACTCAGCACGCGCAGGCTCAGCACCTCCAGACACAGTACCCTCAGGCTCCACACGCCCAGGCTCAGCACCCCCAGGCTCAGCACGCCCAGACTCAGCACCCCCAGACTCAGCACCCCCAGTCCCCACACCCGCAGGCTCAGCACCCCTAGTAGCACCTGAGTCGACAGCTACCTCAACTGGCTCGGCAGGGTCTACCTGGGACACACCTGAGGGGGCAGGACCCTGAGGGGGGAGGGGGTCTACCACGGGAGTACCTGGTGCTAGGAAGAGCAGCGGGGGGGGGGGAGAGGCAGTGCGGTAGGGAAAGAGACAGTAGTACGACACCGACTCGTCAAACGTGACGTCCTGAGAGGACAGAACACGACGCAAGGTGGGGTGGTAGAACTGCCACCCGGGTGCATCAGGAGGGAAGCCAAGGAAGACACAGGGAACGGCACGGGAGGACAGCTTGTCCGCTGTAGTATCGCGGACAAAAGCTCGAGATTTCCCAGACACGGAACACGGAACGCGTCCACCGCAGAGTAGGTGTGGTCTCCGGCAAGGAGACACGAGGCTGAAGGTTGATCTGATGCGCAGCGTACTGAACCGCGAACGGCCACAGAAAATGGGGAGAAGCCGCATGGATCATGGACGTACGAGCGTCGTCCATGACCATGCCAATGCGGCGCTCAGCAATCCCATTTTGCTGCGGGGAGGCCGGAAGCGTGAACGTCTGGCGGATGCCCTCCGAATGACAGAAGGCTCTCAGGAGGTTGGAGGAAAACTCCCCACCTCTGTCTGAGTGCAGACGCTGAACAGGAAGGTCCGAGCCGAAACTCTCACTGAGCTGGCGACGGGCACCGCGGATCCAGTCGATCAACACCTCCGGGACCTCACCCTTGCTGCGCAAGGGGAAGACTGTGGTGTAACGCGAGTAGTCGTCAACGACCAGCAGGAAGTAACGCTCGTGACCCTGTCCACGGACGCGGGCTGGGCCCCACACGTCCACGTGAAGAGTCTGCAGAGGAGCCTCAGTCGGAGGGAACGAGGAGGAGTGAGGAGCAGCGCGCTGCCGGCCCTCGACACAAGGAACACAGGTGGGGGCAGGCCCCGGAGGAAGGGGAGGGAGGGACCTGGGGAGACCAGAGACAAGGGCACGGGAGGCCATACCTCGAAGACGAGGCAAGGAGGGGTGACCAAGGCAGTGGTGCCAAAGGAGAGTCTCGTGCGACAGAGGACGACACGAGCAGGGGGCAGACGCAGGACTAGACCTGGACGCGGCAGCAAACACCTGACTAGACACAGCTACCTGACCAGACGCAGGGACCGGAGGAGGCGCAGTAGTCAGTGTGTACAGACTCAACCCTGGCCGACGGGTGAACGTGGCCAGGTGGCGGCCCGTCCGAGAGCAAGTGCAGTGGGTCACACGCTGACCTCCAGGGGTGAACTAGTCAACCCACACGTCCTGGAGGTCAGCTCCACTCACCAGGTTCGTAGAGAACGAGGGGAGGTGGAGTCCCGACAGCAAGCCCGACGGGGCCGCTG